AAAAAAAAAAAAAAAAAAAATTCTATTCAAGATACTAGCTGTCACATCCACTTCATCATTATTTGCAAATTTAGTAACCGTGCTTCCTAAAATTTCCTAGAATCCCATTTAAAATTCTGGCCCCAGACTAGCTCGTTAATTCTCTGTCTTCTTGTTTTACATCTTGACATTATGTTATTAATGACGCACTCCTGAATGTGACCTTTCCACCAAACGATCACTCTTTTAGCAATTCTACAATCAACCCTACATTTTTCACATTTTTTTTTTTAAACTTTTGAGACTTACCTCAGCCTTTTGGGCGATATCGTTCATGTTTGCTCTGTGGGATCTTGGGTTGATTATGAAGCTTTATATATTTTTGCACCTAAAAAAAATTTCATATTGCATAAGAATTTTTAATGATTTTATTTTAAATATATATTTATGTTTTTCAAGATTTTCTGGTTTTTACCAAATTCTAAGGAGCTATAACACTATTTATGTTATATATATATATATTATTAATAGAAATAGCAGTTGGCTGCCCCTAAAAAAAATACTGACATAATCCAAGCAAATAATAAATTGTGATAAACTTCCGTTCCTCTTCCCAAAATTCATGTTATAGAAAACACAAGATGCAGCTGGGATCGGTGGCTCAGCTTGTAATCCCGCGCCTTTGGGAGGCTGAGGTGAGTGGATTGCCTGAGCCTGAGGGTTCGAGACCCACCTGGGCAGCTTGGCGAGACCTCATCTCTACAATAAATCAAAATGAGCCGGGCGTGGTAGTGCGCGCCTGTAGTTCCAGCTCCTTGGAAGGCTGAGGCGGAAGGATCGCCAGAGCCCAGCAGGTCGAGGCTGCGGTGGCCGGGAGCGGCCACTGCACTCCGGTTTGGGCAACAGAGTGAGACCCCAACTCAAAAAAAAGAAAAGAAAAGAAAACACAAGACGCATGGTGTTAAAAGATTCCTGGAAATTTTTGACCCAGAATATCTTAGTGAACATAAGTGCACTTGGAAAGAATGTGTATTCTGCAATTATTGAGTGTGTTATTCTATAAATATCAACTAGATTAAGATAGTTGATCATGTCTTAGATCTGTATATTTACTTTTTTTTGGCTAGTTCTATCAGTCTTCAATTATGTAGAATTTTCTACTGTCCTCTTTAATTCTGCCACTTTTGTTTCATGTAATTTCAGGTTCATTTAAGTGCAAACATATTATGATTGTAGTATCTTTTTTTTTGAGTTGGAGTCTCACTCGGCCGCCCAGACTGGAGTGCAGTGGCCGCTCCCGGCCACCGCAGCCTCGCCCGCCGGGCTCCGGCGACCCTTCCGCCTCCGCCTTCCGAGTCGCCGGAACTACAGGCGCGCGCCACCACGCCAGGCTCATTTTTTGATGTATTGTAGAGAGGAGGTCTCGCCAAGCTGCCCAGGCGGGTCTCGAACCCGCGGGCTCAGGCAGTCCACTCACCTCGGCCTCCCAAGGCGCGGGATGACGGCTGAGCCCCCGAGCCCGGCTAGCGCATGTCTTTTTGGCTCCGAATTATAGTCCGTGGTGGGGCTCCATCACCATGTGTTTGTCCGTTTGCCGACCCCATGACAGCTTGGTGGCTTCCAAGTGTTGGCAATTAGGAATCAAGTGGATAGAAACATCTGTGCAGACGTAAGTTTCCAGACCCTTTGGGTCAACACCAAGGGGAGGGTTGTGGATCGTCGGGTGAGAGTATGTTTCGCGTTGTAAGAAGCCACCCGGCTGCTTTCCTTCCACAGTCGCTGGCTTGCACGCCCTCCAGCAGTGAATGAGAGTTCGCGTAATTCCTCATCCTCACTAGCATCTGAGGCTGGGTCTCCAACTCCTGGGCTCAAGGGGTCCTCCCACCTCGGCCTCCCTAAGTGCCAGGATTACAGCCATGAGCTTCTGCACCCGGCCTCTTTTCCTTTAAATTGATACACACTGGCACTTTTTTTTTTAGTTGGAGTCTCCCCCCATCGCCCAGTGGAGTGCAGTGGCATGCTCACGGTCTCCCCAGTCTCGACCTGCTGGGCTCCGGCGATCCTTCCGCCTCAGCCTTCCAAGGAGCTGGAACTACAGGCGCGCGCCACCACACCTGGCTGATTTTTTTGATTATTGTAGAGACAAGGTCTCGCCAAGTTGCCCGGGCGGGTCTCGAACCCTCAGGCTCAGGCAATCCACTCACCTCAGCCTCCCAA